AACGAATTATTAGATATCTAATTGGTACTTTTGATCTAGGATTATGGTATGATCGTTCTAACAATTTTGCTTTAAAAGGTTTTTCAGATACAGATTTTGCAGGTGACAAGATTGATAGGAAAAACACTAGTGGCACGTGTCAACTCTTGGGAAATGCATTAGTGTCTTGGCATAGCAAGAAACAAAATTGTGTTGCCCTATCAATGACTGAAACAGAATATTTAGTTGTCGGAAGCTGTTGTACACAAGTTCTATGGATTATGTATCAACTTCTCGACTATGATTTATCTCTTACCTCTACTCCTATATTTTGTGATAATACAAGTGTTATTTGCTTATCAAAAAATTCTATGCATCATTCTAAAGCAAATCATATAGAAATTAAGCATCATTTTATCCGTGATCATATTGCTAAATGTGATATTGTGTTAGAATTTATTAGTACTGACTCTCAACTTGTCGATATTTTTACAAACCACTTTTGGAAGAAAGATTTTGTTTTCTCAGGAAAAAGATTGGCATTTTGCCAAATTTGTAAAACAAATCTTTTTATCGTGTTCTAGAATATTTTATTTCCTTAAGTATGTGTGGCTTAATTAATTTTCGTGTAGGTATAATAATTGATTCTTCATCAGTACCGCCGATCAGTCACTTCAGAAGCATCACTTTCTTCTGAATCCGTCTTTTCCTTTAACCAAGGCAACCCTCCGTTCCTCCCAAAAGTACCGATAAAAATCCTTCCGTCCCTGTTACTCTCTCCATTCTTATCAAAGTCAACCTTCTCGCCATGGCCAAAAGAAACCTCTTTTCCTCCACTGCAACCAGACGAAGCCGAAGGTTTCAAAAACCCCTCAATCTTGAAGAACCTAAAGTCGTCCATTGACTCAGATTTCCTCAAAACGGATAATGAGAGTAGTGAACTTCAGAAAATCCTCCCATTAGCTAGAAAAAAGCATGCAAAAGACCTATGGAGAAAACCCCCAAAATGTCTGCATGCAAGAAAGGAAAGGTAGAGAACACTGAATTCGGACCTGAGGACAAGTTGATCTTTTATGGCCCGAGTGAAAAAGCAAGGTTTGAGTCCTACAAGTCAAAATCTATGGCTTATGGATGCTTTGTAAGTTTTTCTCTCATGAAAAATCTGCATTGTGATGTGATCTCTATATTTGATTTTCAGCATCTTTCTTCTCTGTTTGACACTGTTGGTAACTTTGTTTATGAGGAACCTGTGAGGATGTTTTATGCAAACCTGTTTGTGAATGACAAAGATGATTTGGAACCTATAGTGCTAGGCACTAGAATTGTTCTGGACTCTTATCAATTTGAAAAGATTTTCTCTGCTAAGTTTAGTGGGTTTGATGTTTTTGTGCAAAATTCTTGGCCAAAAGATTTTGAAGTATCTTTTGAAGAGGCCAAAATCTTTTTATCTGATAACCCTTCTGATATTGGCCCCAAGAACCTAAAGTTTGAACATCGTGTCTTGGCCCACATGATTGCTACTACTTTACTCCCCAGAACTGGGTCCCTTAGTTTTTTATCCACCAGATATGTTTTTGTCCTTTACTGTCTTGTTAATAATAAAAGACTAGATTGGTTTGTGTGGATTCGCCAATACATGCTTGAAAGTATTAAGGATATATCTTCCTCCGCTCTTATTTACCATATGGTCTACTCATCTCACGCATTCTCGAAGTTATGAAGGTAGACTTGACACCCTTTACACCAAGCACATTACCAGCACTGATGATAAGATAGCATATTCAATGATGGGGTACACCTTGGGTGATAATGGATGGGTTAAGCGCGCCAAAGTTGAAAGTATTCTAGTGTCAGTTGAAGTTCAAACTGAACAACCAGCATCTCAGTCGACTGCCTCTCAAAATCTTCAGCAGATGCAGAAATATTTAGATGAGGTAAAACAGCTGGTAGTTGAGATGAAGGAACATGTAGAAAAGATCAGGGAAGTCACTAGGGAGACATGTACAGATGTGGCTAAGCTCAGAATGGATATAGGAGCTACGCGGAGACAAGGAACCAGAGCATTTAATTCTATGACTGAAATGATGGATAAGCTTGTAAGATATCGAGAATTCCTATGACTCCTTCTGCACCAAAGTGATCAACACTCTCAAGTACTTCCTGGGAAGAAGCTAATGTGCATTTGTGTGATGGTGTTCAAAAACAATTTTTTCTCTTTTCTTGTTTTTTGCTTGCTTGCTTGTTGGTGGTTCTAACAAACTTTTTTTGGGTCTGTATAACATATGCCTATGTTGAAGGCATTACTTTTGCTGCACTATCTCGCTAGTTATTATGTATATTACTTCCTATATTACTTGTCTTGGTTGTTTTCTTTCCCTTTTTGATTGATGTCAAAGGGGGAGAATAGGTAGAGAAGTAAATCAACCTCTCTAGGGGAGCAAACATCAACTCAGGGGGAGCAACTTGGAAGTGAAATAAAAAGGGAAGTCTCATAATTAATGTTTACTCTCTCTTGATTGTCATCATAAAAAGGGGAAGATTGTTAAGTTAAATTCCAAGGTTTCAATGATGACAATGTTTACTTACCTGTTTTGCAGGAATCATCAAAAGGAAAGAAAACCAATGAGAAGCTGTCCAAAGATGTAATTGCTAAATTAATGGACAAGAAGAAGGAATTAAAAATCAGCAGATCCATTCAGCCTTAATCAAGGAAATTAGATTACAAATCAAAGAGCTATTGCCAGCAAATATTCAATATCCTTAATTAAGCTCAATCAAAGGCTTGATTGTCTCTTGAATGAAAGCTATGACAAGAAAAGTCACGATCGAATCTGGCCCTTCCGAAGAGCAGGATTCGAACAGGCACCCCTTGGGTCAAATCCTTTTAAAGATCTCGTGCCTCTATTTTCGGTCAAAGCTCAACGACTCTTTCCTCTCCTATAAGAAGTTTGCTAAGATCAAATGGAAGACGTGTGCAACTACAAACATTATTTTCTAAGTCTCTCTACTTCTTAGCCTAAACACTGTAATCCTTAGTTTACCAGTGTCTCAAAAGATAGGAAGAGTTAGAACACAAAAGAGAATTGTGTCACTATTCGAGATTCATTGTTGTTGTACTTCGTTAGTGGTGAACGAATCAAAACCATCTGTACTGTAATACTTTCAAGATCTAAAGGGAACCTTTGTGACCCAAGGGAAACTGGATGTAAGTACCACACCGGTACCGAACTAGTATAAAATCGTTGTGTATCATTCTCTTTCCATTTACTGTTATTTTACATTTTGCTCTCAATCTAGTCAACTAAATCATCGTTAGTCGACTAATTTTAATAGACCACAATCCCCCCCCCTTGTACTTTCACTCTCAGTTTCTGATGTTATGGTCATCTCAACATATGTTGAATCACTGAGTTGCAATTACCAGATTGTATAGTATCACTAAGCTTCTTATCAAAATGGGCCCCGATGTCTTTCCATTTTCAATAAGGTGAGAGTGATACTACAAATGCTAGAATATTAATGTGATTCATTATTACTACACATTAATTAGCTCATCGCTAATGCACATTCTCTGGACAAAAAAATACTTATGCACACTTGAATATAGGGCTGGGCATATATCGAGTAAAATCGATAACCCGAACCGTTAATTGTTTATTGGGTTATCGGTATCGGGCTATTGAGTTAACGGTTCGGTAACGGTTTAAATTTTTTCACTATTGGGTTATCGGTTCGGGCCTCGGTTTGCCAATTTTGGTAATGGGTTAAACAATAACCCAATAAGAATTAATAAAATTACGACTTTACCCTTAAGTATATACATATGCTAGGGCTTCAGTTCATTCTCTCCTATTCTTTCTTAGCCACACTCTTGAGTTGCTTCATCTTCATTCTTCATAGACCTTACTAGTTACTTCTAGCGTAAGTCATTAGTCTTATATATTAGGCTTTTAATTTCTATAACAAAATTCATTTTCATATTGGTATTTTTGACTGTTAATGATTCTTTATTTTTTATTTTCGTTTCTTAATTTTGTGAGCTCACGTTGTGCAGCCTATACCTACTACCAATTTCTCTTCGCACTTATCAATTCTCAATCGACAATCTTCGTCAGTTTCGGGTATATTTTTGAACATTATTCTTCTGTACAGTACGCTGAGTTTTGACAACAGGACAACATTTTCTTGCCTTCTAGCTGTTTTTCATTTCTGTGTTAGTATTGCCCATGCACAGATCAAGGTTTTGCTCTATGGTTTTTTTTTCTTTCAGGTTAGGCATTTGACAAACAACATCCAGTCTAGATAAACCGTTAGTACTATATGTTTGGACTTGTTAATTTTAAGGTGAAATTGCTACTACTTAGCATTATTATTAATGTATTTGGACAACTATTGTTGAAGAATTAGAACTATTCCAGTTGTGGCCACCGGAAAGAACGCAGAAATGGATAGTATACTATATGTGATTTTTTTTTTTTGCTTAACTCCAGTGAATTGCCTTGTCTTTTTTGCTTAAATCTTGATTGAGTTATCTTATCGGGTAAACCGATAACCAAACCGATAATGATTGATAATCGATTAATCAATAATCGATAATCGATATCTTATCGGTTCGGTTATCGGTTTATCAAATTTGTAAACCGATAATCGATATGCTAAACCGATAATATTCATAACCGAACCGAACCGACCGATGCCTACCCCTACTTGAATAAAGAAAATTATAGAAGACATATGTTTAGACCAAAAAGAATACTAGGTTGTTGTATTAAAGAAAGCAAGATAAAGGCCACGATTTAAACAGTTCAAGAACCAGTGAAAAGAGAAGAAATGGAAAGTTCGGATGTTCTGGTGATGCAACCAGAACCACTTGTGTATAAAGTTAGCTCAGTGCAAGGAAATCCTTCAGGCATTAACACAGCAATCACTTGTAGATCAATCACACTTAGTTCCTTTATATGGGGAAAAAAACATGTATTGGAGAAGTTAAAGAAAGTATCAAATTGAGTGCATTGACTTACTGAAGAATTCTGCTGGGGTATCGACCTGTATACAACTTTTTCTCCAAATCAGAGTTCCTGTCAGTTATTTGTCTTCCTTGAAGCATCTGCAGCAACTTCAGATTTAGTGTTGAATCTCAATGGAAACACATAAGATAGCAGTCAATTCAAGTAAGAAGAGCAAACAGAAAAATAACTTGCTGAATATTCGAGGCATCAATTTTGATAAATGTAGGAATAGGATAACAAAACTCCTTGAATCTACCTGATAAAAGATGAGACCAAATGAATAAATATCTTTGCTAATGTCATGAGACAAATGGCTGATAAAGTTACATCCGTTGTTTAATTGGCCTGAAAAAGAAAGACATTAATTATAAATAACAGTACCGTGACAAAAAGTACATTTTTAAACAAATAAGAGAAAACCAAAAAGTATTCAGACAAGAGTCTTGATTTGCATATATCCGGTTATCCAATATTTGAACCCAATATTCGCCAATCTTCAAGTGGCCACCTTCATCTAGTAACAAGTTCCTGGGACAAATTAAACAAAAGACTTCAGTGAAGGTACCAGCTAATAACTTAGGAAAGACATATTCTACAAAGCTTAACTAAATTCTTTAGAACTTGCTTCATAACCTATGTATATTACTTAGTTCTCATGTGAGCATAAATTAAAATGGTTCGAACGGTCTGCGCTTGCTGAAATAATGTTACAAACAGAAGAACTCTCTAGAATCCACTGCAGAAAACTATAGACAGACTGAAAGAAAAGAAGCATACATTCATGTAGTAATCATAAGAATTCAGCATAGAGAAAGATCTAAACTAGAAGTAATTATATTCTCTGATTCTATTGTTGGAACGAAACTAAGTTGCAATTCCCAAGTATGCAAGATAAATAAATAAAGAACAGAAGTAAGATGTCAACAACGAATCAAAAAGGGAAGAAACGTACTTTGGATGCAAGTTATTGTGAACTATAGGCAAAGGCTTGTGCCGATGGAGGTAATTCATTCCCCTGTCAGTCAACTTAAGCACTAAAATGACTTGCTCTTTCACATAATAAAACAAAATCAACTGAATAGAAATCAAATGAAATGAAATGTTCTACCTAGCAATGTCAAGTGCATAGCGCAAAGCAGTTGGGTGGTCAAGGCGCTTTCTCAAAATATCTTGCAAATTCCCCTGACAAACAAGAAACAAAATAAGGAGTGTATCATGTTTATTGGCATTGCTTAGCTCTTACAGTAAAAAAACATCTGTACTGTTTCTGCCTACACCTTTGATTGAAAAACCTAAGACACTTACTTTTGGCAAATACTCAGTGATCAAGATCATTTCGTCTCCATGTACAATTGATCCAAGAAACTGTAGAATATTTGGATGTCGAAGTTCCCGCAGCAAAGTATTGACCTTTGCAGAGAACACCCTGCAGAAATTATATTGAAGTAAAAATTATAGGAAGAATTATCCAGAAGGCCCTTTTAAAATCATTAAAGTAAAAACAAGAAGAATTGAATGCCTTTTGATTACTGTTTTGACCACCCATGTTCCACGCCATTTGACCTTTTCCGACTCCCCAAATAAACCCTGTGAAATAAAACAAGTCTAAGTTCCTTGAAAGTAACATGCTAAGTAAAAGAAATGGCCCTTCTTCTGGCACAGTTCTCATTTTCTATATGCTTGACACTTGTTTCCCTGGGAGACCTTTATGTATTTTCTTGAGAAAATTCTTTAGAAGATATTTAACAGCACGACATTCCAAGCTTTGGATTTCCATATTAATACCTGCTCAATCATTGATGAGTGCTGCAAGTTCAGTTCAGATATGTCAATGTTCACTTCAATTGAATCCTCTTCACGCCGAACAGTCTGCATATAACAGAATTCAAGCTTAAAATATCTCATTCAGATTGATTAGCAAAAACAACAAAGGAGTAAAAGGAAAACACAGTGTCATGAGTAAATTGGATTTTCATTTACTGCACCAATCTGCTTGGCATTTTGCTGAGTGAAACATTACTCTAGTATTTGGAGCTAATTCCAAATTTGTTCCCAGTATTATTTGCCTATGTTCATCTGATCTCTGGAAAATAAGCTAGTTAATCCTTCTACTAGTGTAAATGACAGAACTCAAAATAAAACATTCTTAGATTCTGCTACCTCAGCCGCCTTTTCAATATCCTATCCCACCCCTATTTAAGTCTGCAACTCCAATCCCACGCCTGCCAATCCTACTTGCAATAATAGTGTGATGTTCCAAGGTGTACAGATGAATTGTATGGCCCTAGAAAGGGGTGAATTGAGAAGTTTATGTGAAAGTAATTTGATTGGTTGCATTAATGCAACAGGTGAAAGCAAGCTAAATAGCGAAGCAATGCATAGGACGAGAATAAGTACTATGCTTATTTTGACGATACAAAGTGCAATTCATGCATACCTTTATAAAAGGTAGATTCACAAGTTTATATTTTTCTATCACAAGCAAACTATCAGTTGACGCCAGTCATGCTCTGAAAGCCAACATATAAAGATGAAACTATAATGGACACCCATTTCACCAGCACAACCACCCGAGGCGGATCCATAACTTAAACTCTATGTGTTCAACCTTTAAAGTTTTAGCATTGAACCTCTTATATTTTTTAAACTATGGGTTCATATATATTACTATATTTATTGTAATTTTAGTAGATTTTACACATAAATTTATGTATCTCATCGAAAGTTACGGGTTCAATCGAACCCGTAGCTTTAATGCTACATTCTCCCCTGACAGCCACCACCAAAGCCAAGAAAACTTAACAAATTTAGAACTGCTTGAAATCTCTAATGCATTTGCAACTTAAACCATGAACAACTTACCAAAGGATGATCGCTGTTGGAATCCTTGCCACCATAAACCTCAAGGATCCTGCATATGTCACGATGCCCATACAATTTCGCATCTGTCAAGGGCTTAACATCAAGAATTGAAAGGAAAAATTGTGATGGTCAATCCCTCATAAACTAATTGAAAAGCATATGCATTCGAAAAGACAATAAGAGGCCCTATGTATTAAATCTAAAGCAACACGTTTCTTATGATTAGTTCAGTAGAGTTAACAATAGCAGATTAAATCAGTCTTGATGATGCTTCATAAATCATATGATACCCATTATTATAAGGTAATTAGAAGCAAATCTATATGATAAGCATTAATTGCTACGTATTCTGATAACTATCGACTATCACAGGTTAGACTAGATTTAATTTATAGTGTGAAAAATCATTACATAGTCAGAAACATGGTTACTTTATCAGAAAAGAAAAGCAGAGCAGTAGTATATTAAGGTACTCACAGTGCGTCGCCATCTATCACTGAGATTAACATCAGCCTTGTAAGCCAGAAGAAGCTCAACAATGGAGGCGTGTCCTTCACTAGCAGCAAGATGGAGAGCAGTTCGTTTATCATAGTCCTGCACATTGGGAGAAATACCCTGCCTCAACATCTGGTTTAGGCCTACTCTATCCCCTCTTGACGCGAAACTCAAGAACGTCCCTATCAGCTGCATGTCTAAACGCCCAATAATTATTACTAATGGACTCTCCATATCTCTCAATAATCGATCTTTTTACTCTTAGAACAAATAGTATGCATGTACAAGTGAAGATATTTAACATATATAGTAAAGGTGGCGGTTTAGTCGAAGAAATGGGGCTTGGGTTTTAACGATTTGCTTACTTCTTCCACCCCAGGCTCCGCTCCTGATTCCCGACTTCATTTTTGTGTTTTCGATTCGCGCGTCCACTTCTATCTTTATATTCAGAGGAATATATCGTACTACCTTGTTTGAATTAAGTTTCAATACCAACATAACCCTCTATACCATAATAATTTTATTTTCATTCTCACTTTCACCAAAAGAATACACTGTTTAGGGTGTAAATGTGAAAAAACATAACTAGGCAACATTAGTTAATTATCTAAATATTAGCATATCATAATAGCTTTTAAATGAATATTCCTAAATTTCAGCCGGACAAATAGGAAACTGTTCCTATTTTTTCGCTCTGATTTTTTATCTTCCATAACTGATCATACAATCCTTTCATTCTTTTTTGTCTTCCCTTTTCTAATGCCTTTCTTCTTATTTTCTTTTTGTATATGCAAAATTCTTCTTTTCGTTTCCTTTTTTGGAGTTTAAATTTGGATAATAGCATATTATTTTAACATGTTACAACTTCGACCGGCGGTTCTTATATATTTTCTATTTCAATGGTATATGTAATAAATTATATAATGGTGGTATATATAAAGTATAATACCCAACTATAAAGAATATGCATGCTATATTTTGTTTATTTATTTGTATTTTGATGTATATATATAGATAGATAGATAGATGGAATATTTGCATTATAAATTATCATAATATAGTTTACTTGAAATATATTAAAGGTATATATTGAGTAAAAATAAAATTATATAGCAAAAAAAGTTTAAAACTTAAAGAAAAAAAATACTAAAATTCTAATTCTTCAACCTCATTAAAGAGGAAATTACTTTTGAGATATTTTTCTTTCAGAATCTTTGATATATTTGACTAAAATGTTATTTATGGAAGTGAAAAAAATATTATGGAAGAGAGGGAAAATAAAATGTAGTAAAAAGTGTATTGATATAGAAGGATCCCTTAGTTCATGGACTTACCAACGTGGAAGTGCTAAAAATATAAAAAAATATGTGCTATTTTTGAAATAAACAAAGATTACTATCATTTATGAAAATAATTTTTAAAAAGGGAGCAATCATATAAAACTCTATTAGCTTTTTGATAACTGAACAATGAAAAATTAGAAGTGCAAAGAAAAGTTTTCCTTACTAAAATAATGCGTATGGGCCAATTATTGGGACAGAGGCTGTTGGGTGGGGTATTTGCATTTATACCCGCTTTTTGGGTCATGTTTTAACTTGTACCCGCTTTGTAAAAAAAATTGCAAACGTACTCACTTTTTCGCGTAACTTCAGCATACGGAGCTGAAGTAGCAAAGACAATCACGCAAAACTTTAGCATTCTAGTAGACGGGTCTGAAGTAGCAAGTGTGCTGACTAAGTGTGCTGAAGTTTTTGTTTGTAATTGCTGAACTTGAGCATAGTAGTTGAAGTTTTGTTCTCTATTTGCTGAAATTTTTGTTTGTAATTGCTGAACTTAAGCATAGTAGCTGAAGTTTTGTTCTCTATTTGCTGAAGTTTTTGTTTGTAATTGCACTAAATAAACTGGAGTTTTTTTTGTCCTGGATTCATTAATTTTGTCATTAAGCTTTTTCAAAAACTTTAGCAGAAGATGCTGAAGTTATTTAGTTCATTTATAAAAACTTCAGCACTAAATAAGCTGAAGTTTTTTTTTGTCCTGGATAAGCTTTTTCAAAAACTTTATTTAGAAAATGCTGAAGTTATTTAGTTCATTTGCAAAAACTTCAGCACTAAAAGCTGAAGTTTATTTGTCCTGGATTCATTAGTTTTGTCATAAAGCTTTTTCAAAAATTGCAGCAGAAGATGCTGAAGTTATTTAGTTCATTTGTAAAAATTTCAGCACTGTATAAGCTGAAGTTTTTGAAAAGGCTTTCTAACATACTAGATAAATAATCAGATTGCCAACAATATCTAAATCATAAATTTTGGAAACAATAAACGTGAAAAGAACATAATTATCATTGTTTACAATCTTAATTACGCGGAAATATTCACAAATTATTGTCTACTAACTTACGTAATTATTTATAATTTGTTTTTAAATAATCTGATAAACATATTTATGACAGTCATCCCATGAACTGAAGTTTCATAGCAGCACCAACAACAACAGAAGAAAGAAGAAGAAGAAGAAAACGAAGGAGGAGGAGAAAGAGGGCTGAAGTTGTTTAAAAAATAAGTACAAGTTAAAACTTTTTAAAAAATGGGTATAGATTAAATGAGGGCGACCAAATAGGACGCCCCATATAATTTTTACATGTTGGGTGGGGGCTAAACTGCAAAGAGGCCCAAGAGTTGGACAATCCAACAAGTGAATTGTGTGGGATCCGGGTCAAGGAAGGGGTCAAGGAAGCACGTGACAAAGGGAATAAAAGGGGTTATCGTCTGTGGATTTAGGATTAGGCATATGTATATGAAAAGCTTTGTAATTTTCATCTCATTTCTGTCTAAACTCTAAACTTCTCTATCTCCTTCTTCTATGGTATTTTTCTGTCTTCTCATACCTCTTTGTTTCTCCTCTATCGTTGTATTTAGTTAGTATTTCTAATTCCTATAGTGTCCTGAGTTCCTTTTGATTGTTGAAGGAATACAAGTGTTGGGAAACTGGTTTGTTTTCGTGCGCACATAATTCGAGACAATCTGTAGTAGAAAATAAAAGAATTAACTAGAAAGGAGTACAAAAATAAAAGTAATTTTTTTTTTTTAGAATTTCTGTTTTCTTCGTTGTTTAAACAATAATCTGTTCGAACATGATGATAGTAACATATACACCAACAATATATAATAACAAATGATGTAACTTAAATATTAGGATATTAGTATTACATATCCTTCATGACAAGTTGAAAATGCCATCCGATCGGACTGCCTTTGGACTTTCTCTCCACCCAAATGCGGTTTACCATGTATTTTAACTTCAACCCTTTAATTTTGACGAACAGGCCAAAACTAGGCCCCAAGTCCATAAAAGTAGTACATTTTTTTTAAACTTTTCTTTTGTTGCCATACATTGCTTTTCTTTTCCAAAACATCAAATCATGATGTATCAATCGTGTACTAGAACTTATGTCATACATATTTTATAAAGATAAATACGTGTGGTCCATGAAATGCTATTTGTGTTTGTGTAACACTAATTATTTGTGGTCCTATAATATATTCACCACGTCCCAAAGTGAACAAAGCGGGTTGGGGTCAATCAATGGGAGAGGGTGGAGATGAAAATTTGTGGTCCGTCATACTGAGCATCCGATAAATATTATAGTAAATTGTATTTCGCACAAAATATAAATAGAAATATAACATTTAAAAAAATAATCAAAGATAATGTTAGGAGAAGGGACGAGAGAGATAAAGGATTTTGGTCCGCCATATTGGATATCCGTCAAATATTAATGTATTTTCCCACAGAATATAAATAAAAAATAATGAGAAGAATCAAAATAGCGTTAGTACAAAGCGTAGAATCTTGAAATAGTTCAAATAAGTCACATAGTCCAATCAATAATTCAATTGTTTATCACTAGTTTCCTTTAGTCTCCTTGTTCATCACACCAATCAACAAACGTACAGATCGATTAAGACCCAATTGCATTTTATCTTACGTTTGTGGTGCTGAAATCTTTTTATACTTAGTTCGACAAACTGCAATTTTTCATTACATAATAAGGAATGGATATGTGAGCAACAATACTTGAAACTACTCCCTCCTGATAATAGCTAACACGAGTTCTTAGAATTAAATTAGACGATGAACGAAATCAGTGTAGTTACTCTTGATAGCCGACTAATAAGTTTGTGATTGTGTATTGATATGTCTACTTGTGATCAAAACAACAGCCAATTAGGTGAAAAGGATGATAGTATATATAACGATGATACGAAAATGGTAATGAAACAGTAAAAAGAAGAAAGAAAAGTTGCGGCAGAAATGTAACAAAAGGACAAAAGGAAATAAAGAAGAAGAAGATAACTAGGGCAAAAATAAAAAAAGTTATATTCTCTGATTGATTTTACTAAAATAGGAATTACAATATATATATAGAGTGAGTGAGGGAAGATTCCCTCAACTACCCGTGCCCCTCCCCTATTTGGTCACTTGGACCTTTCGTATAAGAGACAAAGAAAATTACAGGGTCATTGTGTAATTACTATAAGTTGTAATTTAAAACTTAAGTAGACTAAACTAATATTTCTCAAACTTCTCTTCATCCTTATATTTAACTAACTTAACTACTCTGTACCATTCCGCAAGCACAATGTATTACTGACGCAAGCTACTCGTATCAGATCCGCCTTGTCAAAATCTTCCTTGTCCTGAGGGAAGGAAAGATGAAAATCTAGTCCTTATGGAATGATAATCCTCCCAAGTAGCCTGTTCTAGTGTTGTGTGCTCCCATTGAACAAGTACTTGAGCAATGGCTTTGTTCCCTTTTTGTACTAGGTGTCTGTCTAGAATTTGTTGAGGTTGAGGGCAGTAGGGACTAGAAATATCAATGACTGGGGAGGTGTGAAATCTTCTCAGGTAACTTGTGGTAAGGTTTGAGCTCGGATACGTGAAATGTAGGGTAGAGGAGAAGTTGAGAGGGCAAAGATAGTTTGTAAGATACATTTCCAATTCTTTGTAAGATCTGATATGGCCCATAATATTTGGCTGAGAGTTTGGAGAAGTGAGAGCCTGATATACTGAGTTGCCTATACGGTTGGATCTTGAGGTACACCAATCACCTTCCTTGAATTGTCTGTCAGACCTATGCTTATTAGCTTGTGTAGCCATCTTCTGTTGTGCCCTCTGTAGATAGTATTTCAGCAACTGTTACTTGAACTCTCTAGTGAGTAGGCTTCTATCTACTTCTTCCATGATAGAATCCTCTGCAATGTAAGGTAAGTGGAGTGGTGGGGGCTATCCATACAAGGCTTCATAGTGTGTGGTTTGGATTGAGGAGTGGAATGCGGTGTTGTACTACCACTTAGTCGTTTCCAAATAAGAGAACCAATCTTTTTGAGAGTCAGAACAGAAACACCTGAGATATGTCTCCAAACATCTATTGACAACCTCTGTTTGCCCATCAGATTGAGGATGATAGGCTGTGGAGGTACTGAGTGTGACTCCATGCGTAGAGAATAGCTCTTGCC